CCACGAGCTCAGGCAATCCACTCACCTCAGCCTCCCAAAGGCGCGGGATTACAGGCTGAGTCACCGAGCCGGCTACAATTTACTATCTTTATTGACAAAACTATTATCCCAAGAGACTCTTGCCCAGGAAGAAGTGAATGTTTTCAATTAACTTTACTGTTTATTCCAGAGACTTCCCGAAAGATCCATCAACTCAACAGAAAAAACAGACAGCTTGCCACCTAAGACTTTACTGTTTGTGTCACACATCTGTAGTAGCCAGATATCCTAAGACTTTCTGAGCCTCTTACCTCAACATTCTCCCTTTGCAGTGTTCATCCTCAACTACTGTTCCATGGCCCTAGTCAACACCTACTGCTATGGCAGCACTGAAAGAACGCCTCTCCGGTCCTTAAATCAGACTTCAAAGTCTCAATAAATATCATAGGCCAGGCACGGTGGCTCACACCCGTAATTCTAGCACTTAGGGAAGCTGAGGGAGGAGGATTGCTTGAGCTCAGGAGTTTGAGACCAGCTTGGATGACATAGCAAGACCTTGTCTCTACATTTTAAAAAGTAAATAAATAAGTACAAATTTTTTAAAAAAATCATAGACTTGGTCTTCACCCTACAAGGTGTAGTTAGACTACAGAGGGGTAAGTATCATTTATCAGTCTTTTGGCTAAGATCAAGTGCAGCTAAGCAATACACTTAGCTTTCTCTTATCAACAGGTTGAGGAACATTAAGGGAGCTGGCGTTTGACAAGGTGTTGAGGCTATATTGGTAAGAAATGTCCTCATAGAGTGTACATTCTAGAGACAGGCAGTAAGCAAATAAACTAGGCAATATGTTATTTACTTATTTAGAGTCAGGCCTAACTCAGGAGTGCAGTGGAACGATCATAGCTCACAGCAACCTTGATCTCCTAGGCTCAAGAGATCCTTCTGCCTCAGCCCCTCAAGTAGCTGGGAGTACAGGCGAGTGACCCCACACCTGGCTAATTTTTTTGTTTTTGTGGAGACAATGTCTCTCTATGTTGCCCAGGCTGGCCTCTAACTCCTGGGCTCCAGCTATCCTCCCACCTTGGCTTCCCAAGGCGCTGGGATGACAGGCATGAGCCACTATGCACAGATTGGAAATATGTAATTTAATAATATTTTACAACATAGTTGGGGAGAGAGATGATACTCAAGGAGACAAATTTGTCATCACACATCATTATGATAACTAAAACAGATATAAAGGGTACTAGAAGAGAGAATGAAGGGAGTTGGGACCCTAATTTAAAAAGATGCTCTTGGATGGGCACGGTGGTTCACGCCTGTAATACCAGCACTTTGGGAGGCAGAGGTGAGAAGATTGCCTGAGCCGAGGGCTTTGAGACCAGCACACTCTTACTGCACTCAGACCAGGCTTTACCCTATTGTTTACAATCACTCTCACTACAGAATTGTTTTCTAAAACTTTTTTTTTTGAGTGGGAGTCTCACTCTTGTTGTCCAGACTGGAGTGCAGTGGCACACTCACCGCCACCACATCCTCGACCTGCTAGGCTCAGGCGATCTTTCCGCCTTAGCCTTCCAAGCAGCTGTAATTACAGGCACGTGCCACCACACCCGGCTAATTTTTTTGATTTATTGTGGAGATGAGGTCTTGCCAAATTGTGCAGGCTGGTCTCGAACCTCTGGGCTCGGGCAATCCTCTCACCTCGGCCTCCCAAAGTGCTGGGATTATAAGCTTGAGCCACCGTGCCCGGTCTAATTTTTTTTATTTGTTGTGGAGATAAGGGCTCGCCAAGTTCCCCAGGCTGGTCTCGAACCAGTGGGCTCCGGCAACCCTCTCACCTCGGCCTCCCAAAGTGCTGGGATTATAGGCGTGAACCACCGCGCCCAGCCTCGAAAACTTTTCACTGCAAAGACAGAATTGGACATTTTAGGTTAAAGGGACCTAAGGGCCGGGCTGGGTGGCTCAGCCTGTAATCCCAGCGCTTTGGGATGAGGCCGAGATGAGTGGATTGCCTGAGCCCGCGGGTTCGAGACCTGCCTGGGCAACTTGGCGAGACCTCATCGCTACAATAAATCCAAAATGAGCCGGGTGTGGTAGCGCACGCCTGTAGTTCCAGCGACTCGGAAGGCTGAGGCGGAAGGATCGCCGGAGCCCAGCAGGTCGAGGCT